GTACGGTGCCCTGGTAGACAACTATATTAAAATATGACGCATTTAGAAGAATGTTTTTTGTTTACTGAAATTACATTACATGAATTTCTTCATGAAAAAAACAAACAAAAAACAACAGAAATATAAAGCAGAGAAAATTGAGATTGCACCAGGAAGCTTCTATCTCTCTGTTGGAAGAAATTTAGGGCATGTCCGTGTGGTGATATCATGCCAGTTCTGAAATGCAAGATCATTTTCCAACTGTGAGCTCTCTAAAAGCATTTATACAAGTAAATAATGCCATGAACCCAGTTGTGCATACATATATTTGTTTCCCTTCTGTGTCCCCGGTAATCAGGACACCAGAAGAATAACTTTTGACTATGGACTTTGGAGGCCCAATCAGGGCAGTCCTGCTGCATACTGAACACTTATTTGTTATGTAACCTTATGTAACCAACCCTGTCTCTATTTTATTATCCTATTGTTTTGGTTATAGAATATGATGATTTACCCACGGGGCACCATCCACGGATTTATGGCACTGGGACCGGGCAAGACATCACCCGAATCACGCTTAACCTAAACACAACAGAATAAGCGACCCTAGTTACCAGATGAGGGGCTACCTCACCACACTATGTACGTAAACCTAGAGCACATAAGCTCACTTCTGCTAACCACTGAACTATGTATGTTACATGTACAATGTATTCCTGTAGTTAACCGGAAAAACTCAATAAAAATTGATTGACAAAAAAAAAAAAGAATATGATGATTTACATAAAATAATAACATTGCAAACATTTTAGGATCTAGCTACATGCAATTCTAATGTAATTGTGGTCATCTGCCATAGGGACTCATGTAATCTGGGTGAGGGTCTTTTTTAGAGCCCCTATCATCACTCTTGTCAGTTTGGGGTTTAAGCACCCGACACAGGTAGGTGAGTACCATAAAAGTGGCAATCACCTACCTATCCATAACGTTTATAGTGTGGGATCAATGCACCAAAGAAAAAGTGGCTATCTTCTAGATACAGTATAACACGAGCAGTAGATTATTCTTTCACATGATAAATCTCATGGTAGTAATTATGTACTAGAGGGGTTCCAATCACCTGTCCAGTAAATGAAGCTTATGGTGATGAGTGCTCTAAAAGTAACTTAGAAAATTCTTGCAAACACTTAAAATGAGGGGTCACATGACCAGGTAGCTGTCAGACAATAACAATGACAACTGATCAGCCAGTCATACTATATGCATATGTTACAAAATCATAGCGGCATAGATGAGCATGTGACCCAAAGCAAATATCCTACTCTTTCCAAAAAGTGGTCTTTCATCTGTAAAGCATGATCATGCAATTATGTTATGTTCTTTATTAGCATTATTTTCTATGGTAAGTGAGTTAGGATGGGTAGGCATTATTAAAATTAGTTACAATATCCACTATGCAATTATAATTTTGTGTTGTGGAGCTGCAGCTCCAGGCCCATGGAATAGGCCCATTGATTTAAAAAAAATATATATATATTTTTTTTTTTTTTCATTGATTGGCACAGCCAGTATTTGAGGCTGCCTGGCTGGTGCCAATATTGCAGTGATACTGGCAATACAAATGCTGGTATTTTTCTCAGTATAAACAAGATATTACTATGCAATACTAGCACTGGCCAGTAGGGGTGGCTGTATGTGGAGACAGGCAGGGATAGGAAGTTCCGGCATATCCCTCCCTGCCTATCTATACTCACTGATCTGCAGGGGAGCAGCTACAGAGAGTCCAGACAGCAACTCCCACCCTAAAGAGACAGCCTACAGCTCAGGGAAGTAAGGGATGGGGTGAAAGGCTGCAAGGAGACATACACTGAGACACTAAGGGACACTGGGAGACATTATGGCAGACACTGAGACACTAAGGGACATTGGGAGACATTATGGCAGACACTGAGACACTAAGGGACATTGGGAGACATGGCAGACACTGAGACACTAAGGGACACTGGGAGACATTATGGCAGACACTGAGACACTAAGGGACATTGGGAGACATTATGGAAGACACTGAGACACTAAGGGACATTGGGAGACATTATGACACAGACACATGGGGACACAGTGTCCCCATGTCTCCCAGCCAGTGTCCCTGGTGTCTCAGTGCCCCCTAGTCTCCCAGTGACCCCTAGTCTCCCAGTGCCCCCAGTTTGCCAGTGTCTCACTGTGCCCATGTCTCCTAGTGCCTCCATGTCTCTCAGTGCCTCAAGTGTCACAATGTCCCCATGTCTCCAAGCTAGTGTCCCTAGTGTCTGTGTCCCTGGTGTCTGTGCCCCCATGTCTTCAAGTGTCCCTTATTTTCCCATTGTCCCCATGTGTCACAGCCAGAGTCCCCTAGTCTCCCAGTGTCACTGGTGTCTCCGTGTCCCTAGGTCTCCCCGTGTCCACAGGTCTCCCCGTCTTCCTAGTGTCCTAGTGACATGGGGACCCTGGGATACATGGGGACACAGGGAGACATGGGGCATTCAGACACTGTGATACATAGGATCACTGGGAGACCTGGGGACATGACACTAGGGGACACTGGGAGACATGGGGCACTGAGACACTGATACGTAGGAACACTGAGACCTGGAGTAATCGACACATGGGGGCACTTAGTCATGAGGGCATTGGGAGACATGGGGGCACTGGGAGGAATCCATCTATACAGCAGAATCAAACTAAGTTTTTTGGTGATTTTACAGCATTTTCTCTTATGTCACTCCTTGTGATTTACATCATGTGATGTCACCCATACATATTTAATTATGCAAATTAGTAAGGCCGGTATGTTTTTCCAAGAAAGGTGGCAACCCTAACTACTTTTCACATACTCTTACTTAAGTATGGAAACTTAAGAGGGATGTATAGGAACAAAACTTGTGTGGACTGGCTGACAATCATTATAGTTAAAGGGACACTATAGTCACCAGAACAACTACAGCTTATTGAATTTGTTCTGGTGAGTAGAATCATTACCGTCACGCTTTTTGCTGTAAACACTGTCTTTTCAGAGAAAATGCAGTCTTTACATTACAGCCTAGTGATAACTTCACTGACCACTCCTTAGATAGCTGTTGGAGATCCTTCCTGGGTCATGGCTGCCTAAAATGCATCCAAATATTCAGTGTCTCCTCCCTCTGCATGCAGACACTGAACTTTCCTTATAGAGATTCATTAATTCAATTCATCTCTATAAGGAGATGCTGATTGGCATGGGCTGTGTTTGAATCATGCTGGCTCTGACCCTGATCTGGGTCTTTGTCAGTGTCAGCCAATCCTATGGGGAAGCACTGTGATTGGATCAGGCCACCACTTCTAATGATGTCAGCAGACTGCTTGTTTTTATGAGTGTAACAGCATGCAGAGTTATAGCTTCAGGCTTGAATATAGTAAGATTTTGCTATATTTATGGAGGCATGAGGGGCCCAGGGGGACTAGATGGTGGTGTTAATACTATAGGGTCATGAATTCCTGTTTGTGTTCCTGTCCCTATAGTGATCCTTTAAGGTAATGATGACTTTGGTCTCTCTAACACTGTGGCATGTTCCCTTTCTTCTACACTCACTACATACAGCTTTTCTCTGTCCCAGACTATATACCAGGAGCTTCTGCCTGCTACTAAGAAGGTAAGGAGACTAGTGAGTGCTAGGGGACAGTCCTTAGAAAGGGTTGAGTGAGCGCATCATTAGATGCATTTATGCCAAGCTCAGGGTGCTGTCTGCATAGTATGCCCTTAGTTGGCCAGCTGCATGATTGGCAGGCAGCCTGACATGCATTCATGCCAGGCTGGCCTTCTAATTCTTTGGGCAGACATGTCCTCTTTTTGGGCATGTTTCCCCTTTTGGCAGGTTACGTGATTTGTGTCAATGGCACACCCTTTTACCTTCCTGCTTGACTGGACACTGCTGTTAGGGGTTATGGATTTACTTGAAAGATGAAAACATAAATTAGAGAGAGATTAGCATAGGGTACATGTTTTCTTATAGCTGCTGTTTCTATCTCTCCAGCACCATCTCCATCAGATACATGACGGTTGGGAGTGTTTTACTGTTTTTGGTCGATATGATTCTGTAATTAGGCCCGTCATAATTGTCAGCACTAGGCCCACTGGGCTCTTAATCTGGCCCTGCCTAAACGTTCTCTGATTAAATTACAAGACTGAGACACTAAGGGACATTGGGAGACATTATGGCAGACACTGAGACAAAGTAACACACATAAAGCATTTTATATACTATGTATAAATAGATATATGTAAATTAGCAGCTTAGAGAGCTATATAGGTTAACAAACTTGTATCTAAAGCATAGCATTGAAGTTGTGTTACTTAAAGGGACACTATAGTCACCAGAACTACAGCTTAATGCAGTTGTTCTGTGAGTATAGTCAGAAGAAAAGGCAGTGTTTACATTACTGTCTAGGGACACCTCCAGTGGCAGTCACTCAGAAGGCCACTAGCGTTGCTTCCTGGGTCAGTGCTGCACACTCTGCATGAATATGCTGAAATTTCACCATTGATTTAATGCATTTTTTATGAGGAGATGCTGGTTGGCTCCTTGACTGAGATCATCAGAATTGACAATCTTAGCCAATTCTGCGGGACTGGAATAAAGGTAATGTGGACCTAAGTGACGCCAGATGTATTAATTGTGTTTCTATTTTATGGAGTTTTGGCCTTGACTTGCTTACCGACTATTCTGACCCCTCCAACACCAACTTTGATTTGTCTCACCATCTCCCTCTCATACTGCAGCTCCGTGTCTAGGCGTGGAGAAAGATGGCCGCTTGAGCCCATAGCTCTGCACCACGAGCTCGGCAAGTCTGTGCTACTGTAAGTTTCCTGTGAGAGACAATAGATATTTTCTATGATGTCACAGTCTAAGTCCCGCCGGCTTCAAGACCAAACCGACAAGTTAAATTTTTTCGCCCCCTAAGAAGATTGCGGCCTTAGCTTAAGCAGACCGCAAATACGGGCTTTCAAGATGGCGCCGGGCACTCTGGAGGGAGCACCTGCAGTGGCACCACTTACCACAGAATTTCTCCAGCAAGCCTTGGATAAGCAATCACAACAGCTGATTTCCATTTGGCAAGCCAGCGTTGCTGAACTGAAACGGGACCTGCAAGATTTGGGCTCCCGCATGGCACACATGGAGACAAAGATGGAGGAACTCGTGGATGCGCATAATACATCTGCGAGGTGGATCCACACCATTACTGCACAATTAAATCAGTGTGAAGCGAAGATTATGGACCTTGAGGACAGGTCCCAGCGTAGCAATGTACAAGGGATCTCTGAGACTCTTCTCCCAGCGCATCTACTGACCTATGTAAATAATTTTTTCAAGCTCCTAGTGCCTGATGTCCCCACAGATATTTTACTATTAGACCGCTTACACAGGGTTCTGAAACCCCAACAAATTTCCGCCTCACTGCCCCGAGAAGGGCTGTTAAAGGTGCACTACTTTCATGTGAAAGATCTTATCATGAAACGCAGCAGAATTGTGAAAGATCTCCCAGCTGAATATGCCTTTGTTCAAGTATTCTCTGATCTCTCAGCAGCCACCTTACGACAACGCAAGGCCTACCAGAAAGTTGCAGAAACCTTGCATGAACATCGCATCCTGTACCGCTGGGGTTTCCCTATCCACCTAATAATATCCAGGAACGGGACTACAACAGTCATCCACACAGTGGAAGAAGGCATGCAGCTACTACATCAGTGGAACCTGTCACCAGCGGGAGAAGCATCGACACCCACGCTACCTAGAATAGTGGACAAGGACTGGTCCCTTGCCTGATTCTAATTGACCGATTATTGCAAGTATTCTTTGCTTAGCCACTACTATGTTAACTGCGACCCGATAATCGCTTAGCAAGTTTATGAGCTAGTTGTGCTCTTGCTCTTGCACAACTGAATGGCAGTTGTCTCTAGTGAAACCTCACTATGTTGAACAGAGGGCCCTGTATTCATAATAATGTTTACGGTCTAATTAATCAGTTATGTCTAATTAATCAATTATGTATTTTTATATAGCTGTTTATAACCGTTGTGTCTGGCACCAGCATGTGTTAAACCGGCTCAGGCCACCTGCTTAGTCACCATCTCCAATCCAATGTCCCCCGTGGCGCTGATAGTATACTCCCATATCGTACGTGGGCTAAACATGCCCCACAAAAGTCATATGCTGCTTCAAGAAGCACATAAATCAGCAGCGGATATACTGTGCCTCCCGGAGACACACTTCCCCAAAGCTAAAGTTCCTCAGTTTGGCATGCAATACTTTTCAAACCAGTTTCACTTAGCCCATATCTCTAAATCCAGGGGTGTCTTGCATTGTATACGGTAGTGAATGTTTATGCGTCAAATGAAAATCAGAGGAATGTTTTACATGGTGGCAGCTGCAGGAAGGGGTAGCACTATTATTTGTGGAGACCTAAATCATGTCCTCGACCCTAACTTAGATACTTTTGTACTGACGCACACAGATAGGCATCTGTCCCTCAAATCACAGTGCAAAGCAATGACTAAACTTTTGCTCCAATTTAACTTGTATGACAGCTGGAGGATGCTACACCCCTCAGGCAGGTGTTACTCCTATTATTCAAAATCTCACAAGACATACTCTAGAATAGATGTGTTATTTTTGGCAGGTCCTTCTCTCAATTTAGTTAAGTCTTGTGTCATAGGGGATATTGTTTGGTTGAATCATGCACCACGGGGAACAACGTTTTGGGACGATTTTACATTAAGAGGCTGTAATCCGTGGAGACTTAATGACTCCATATTGCGAGACGAAAAGTTCTGCACAGAAATTGAACCTGAACTCTCGTCCTATTTCTCTCTGAATGACATACCTGAGACGCCCTCATCCCTAACGTGGCAGGTTCATAAAGCCGTCATCAGGGGACTGTTTATAAGACGTGCCTCCTTTCTCAAACGGATCTCTCAAGCCTAATCCTTAGATCTATTACGTAAATTGTGGGACGTCTCAGCCTCCCATTTGCTCAACTCAACCCTGCCGATGCTGCGACTATAGCTCAAATCCAAACTGAATTAAATGACATTAATATTGCTCATACAACCTGTACCCTTCATAGACTTAAAACAAAGGAGTACATCATGGGTAATAAAGCAGGTTCGCTTTTAGCTAGTAGACTTAGAGATGTACAGGCCCAATCCAAAATATCCCATCTCCTGTCGGACAACAGGGAAAAACTGATCAAATCTCAGGAGATTAGCAATCTTTTCGCAGAATTCTACAGCAAACTCTACAACCTTAAAAATTACCCACTGGTCCACCAACCCACTGAGGAGGAAATAACAGAATTTTTGTCCAGCATTCATTTACCTACGCTGTCGACCTCACAAGCAACATCCCTAGCGCAGCCTATATCACTAGAGGAAGTAGAAACCGTTATAAAAAACCTGCCATCACACAAGGTACCTGGGCCAGACGGACTTCCCAACGTGTACTACCAATGTTTCTCCTCCATCCTCTCCCCAAAATTGGTATCACTTTTTATATCAACTACAGACCTGAAATCCCTACCGACTGATATTCTCATGGCCAATGTTGCCACCCTACCTAAACCTGGCAAACCATCCATCAAATGTGCCAACTTTAGATGCATATCTTTACTTCATTTGGATGTTAAAATTCTAGCCAAAGTTAATTCTAACAGATTGACCTTCATTCTCCTGACCATCATACACTCAGACCAAGTAGGTTTTGTGCACGGTAGACAGGGAGCAAACGGAACGCATAAAGCCCTTTCACTTTTTTTTTCTTTTTTTTATAATTCTTTATTTTTTTGTGCAAAAAAAAAATCACAAATTGGCTTGCACTGCTACAACAGCATATGTGAGCCCATAACTGTTATACATTTTATATCTTTTTGCTGATGATACTAAGATATGTAACAGGGTTGATGTTCCAGGAGGGATAAGCCAAATGACAAATGATTTAGGTAAACTAGAAAAATGGTCAGAATTGTGGCAACTGACATTTAATGTGGATAAGTGCAAGATAATGCATCTTGGACGTAAAAACCCAAGGGCAGAGTACAGAATATTTGATAGAGTCCTAACCTCAACATATGAGGAAAGGGATTTAGGGGTGATTATTTCTGATGACTTAAAGGTAGGCAGACAATGTAATAGAGCAGCAGGAAATGCTAGCAGAATGCTTGGTTGTATAGGGAGAGGTATTAGCAGTAGAAAGAGGGAAGTGCTCATGCCATTCTACAGAACACTGGTGAGACCTCACTTGGAGTATTGTACACAGTACTGGAGACCGTATCTTCAGAAGGATATTGATACCTTAGAGAGGGTTCAGAGAAGGGCTACTAAACTGGTTAATGGATTGCGGGATAAAACTTACCAGGAAAGGTTAAAGGATCTTAACATGTATAGCTTGGAGGAAAGACGAGACAGGGGGGATATGATAGAAACATTTAAATATATAAAGGGAATCAACACAGTAAAGGAGGAGACTATATTTAAAAGAAGAAAAACTACCACAACAAGAGGACATAGTCTTAAATTAGAGGGACAAAGGTTTAAAAATAATATCAGGAAGTATTACTTTACTGAGAGGGTAGTGGATGCATGGAATAGCCTTCCAGCTGAAGTGGTAGATGTTAACACAGTAAAGGAGTTTAAGCATACGTGGGATAGGCATAAGGCTATCCTAACTATAAGATAAGACTAGGGACTAATGAAAGTATTTAGAAAATTGGGCAGAATAGATGGGCCGAATGGTTCTTATCTGCCGTCACATTCTATGTTTCTATGTTTCTGTGTTTAAGAACATAAACATAGCAGGTGAGGAATGTTGCACATTTTTAAATTATAAACATAGCAAGGCAGCTGAGCATACATAGACATCAACGTAAGCGGTGACATTGGATACCTGAGGTGTTTTAGTGCTTTAGGTAGGACACCGCTATTGTTTAAGTAAAAATAAAAAAACACAGATCTAGTTTTTTTTTCATGTTGAATTCTGCGTATAGTCAGACAGTGGGTCCTAGGCTTTGTCTCCCCGGGCTAGTTTAGCTGAGGTATTCCATTGGGGCCCTATATGATATATCGACAGCTGTAATTTATTTCCCGTAGGGTATTTGGTGGTTCCCCTGTGGGGACTAGGGGTGTCGGGTGGAGACGGAATGCTAAGGAGTCCCCTGTCTGTTAGAAATTTTGCTCCCTACCAAACACTGGAGTAAAGGTTTGCAGAGTGGTTTTCTTGGGGGGTTCGGTGGGGGGGTATGTGTGCACTATTTGAAAGAGAGTGCAGGTGCCTGGTAGGCATTCATTAGTGGGCCATAATTATAAACTGGGTCTGAGGATCATGAGCGGACTGGTACTCGAGTACGGCCATGGTGGTAGGATAGCTAATTGGCGGTAACAAGGAGGCCGTTACTGCTAAAACAATGCGAAACAGTGGTGGTGATAAACTTAATAAACACAAAGTAATAAAATAATAAAACAGTGATGCGGAGGAATGAGAAGAAGACAAAAACATATGAGAAACCTAGCAAGCAAAAATCAGTCCTGGACAGTGGTTGGATATGTAATCCTCTATGCAGACAGATTGTCTCTGGCTCGGTCATTTTGTTGGCGCTCAGGTCGGCATCGCGTTCAGTGTCGGTCTCGAAGTAAAGTCAGTTATATTTGCATGGTTTATGTGGAGCAGAGTCCCGCCTGCCCCGTTCTGGGGGGTGTAAGGCTGAGTGATAGCAGGTGTGTTTCCAATTCTTGTAGGCTATGTGCTTTGTAGGTATTCCCTTCATATGTGAAGAGTAGTGCTCGTGGGGTGCACCATCGGTATGGTATGTTCTTGGCACATAGGTGTTGGAGTCGTGGCTGCAGTGATTTCCGCCAGGAGAGAGTGCTTTTCGTCAAGTCCTGAAAGACTGGGAGCATAGCTCCTTCAAAGGTTAGGGGTTTTTTTTCCTCGTATTGCGGCTGTGAAGGTGTTCTTGTCCCGGAGGTTTTGGAAGCGGAGGATGAGATCTGCTGGTGCAGATTGTGGTGCCTGTGCCGGCTTAGGGAGACGGAACATCCCATCCAGCTTTATGGCCTTGGCCTTTTTGGGCGGCATCATGGCCTCAAGTAGGCGCCTGACGAAGTGGGGTAAGTCATTGAGGCCCACGGTATTCCTCTGACTTTTAAGTTGTATCTTCGTCTTTGGTCTTCAAGTGAGTTTACACGGTTTAACGTGGCAAGTTGCCTGTTTTGTAAGTCTGCCAGTGATTGCTCCACCTTCGTGAGTCGGGTGTCATAGTCACTGGAGGTGGCTTCAAGTTGTGTGACTTTGGTCATTACGCTTTCTATGGCAGTCTTGTAGTAGGCCCTGTCTGCGGCCAGGTCCTTACGCAGATCCGCAAACATGGATTTGAGCAGGTCCGCCGACACCGGTTCTCCGGTTTGCAGGGGCTTGACTGTTCTTTTCTGGGGTGGGTCATAGGAGGCTCCCTCCCCGAGATCTATGGAGGCCTCATCGGAGGAACATGATAACTCGTCCCTCAGCGCCATCTTGGCCCACGCGGCCTGCTGTGAGTTCCTTAGTAGTTCCCCTATATCTTTTCTGATTGGGCACTTGTTGGCTCAGGGCTTTTTTGTTTTTCTGCCCATTGTCCTCCCTTGCATTGTGTGCATAGTACCGTGTCAGTTTTTGGCTTAAAATCCCAAATTTCACACAGTTCCATTAAGTTAGGGCTCAGAGCTCAGAGAGATGCGTCTGCTCCCTTCCTCAGTTGGCTCCCAAAGCCCTTTCACTTTTACATACCATACATAAAC